GGACAGAGTGGAACTGCCCCCAGGGTCTCCAAGGCTGTCAGTCTTCACAGAAGCAAAGCCCAAACCACACCCACTGCCGTGGAGTCTATTCTGACCCACAGCGCCCCTAGAGGACAGAGTGGAACTGCCCCCAGGGTCTCCAAGGCTGTCAGTCTTCACAGAAGCAAAGCCCAAACACACCCATTGTCACCCAGTTGATTCTGACCCACAGAAACTCCCATTGGGTTTCCAAGGTTGTAAATGTTTATGGCAGTAGATTGCTTCCTCTTTCTCCCGCAGAGCAGCTGGTCGCTTCAAACTGCCAGCGCCGTTTCAGGTAGTAGCTGAGCGCTTTAACTCTGCGTGGCCAGAGCTCCTCTTAGTCTGGAAGCTCCTCTGGGGCCTGTTGACATCCTAGCAATACACAAGCCTCCACGGCTGAACAGGTGGTGGGGTCCAGACACAAACGCAGCAAGCCCCGCAGCTGTGAGGCCACTGAGGGTCTGAGGCGAAGGCATCGCGGGACTTGGGTGTAAAGGGCAGCTGAGGCGAGGACTCAAGCCAAGCCCTGGGAGTGCTGAGGCCTCGGGGCAGGATGGACTTGGTCAAGGTCCTGGTGTGTCAGGGCCAGGCGAGGCTCCACCCTGCTGCAGGGCTCACTCCCCTCTGTTCTGTGGGTGTGGGCTTGGCGGTGACCAGAACTAGATGTACATAGAGGGGAGCTGGTTGCTGCGTTTCACGTGCCAGGGGGGACCCCCACCTCTCCTCAGCAGAGAACCTGGCAGAGAATCTGTGCAGCCCAGGAAAAGAACTTGCTAGGAGATGGTGGTTTGGGCAATAGGCCACCCCGCAGGCGAGATGCACACATTCATCTCCTGGTAAGTGCTGGAGAGAAATGGGAGTACAGGGGTGAGCTGGCCCCCTCCCAATGGAAGGTGAGATGGAGCTGTCTGAAGGGGCCCAGAATCTCCACCAGGGCACAGGGAGGCCTGCACACCGCCGAGCTCGGGTGGTGGAGGGCTTAAAGCATTCAGCTGCTAACCAAAAGGTCAGTGGTTTGAACCCACCAAGTGCTGCACAGGAGAAAGATGAGGCAGTCAGCTTCCATAAAGATTGACAGCCTTGGAGACCCTTTGGGGCAGTTCCACTCTGTCCTGTAGGGGCGCTGTGAGTTGGAATTGACTCCAGGACAGTGGGTGTGGTTTGGGCTTTGCTTCCGTGAAGATTGACAGCCTTGGAGACCCTGTGGGCAGTTCCACTCTATCCTCTAGGGGCACTGTGGGTCAGAATGGACTCCAGGCAGTGGGTGTGGTTTGGGCTTTGCTTCTGTGAAGATTGACAGCCTTGGAGACCCTGTGGGG